AGCGGGAGAGGAGAAGAAGAAGAAGAAGAAGAAGAAAAGAAACGAGGAAGAAAGATAGGAAGGAAAAAAAAAATTAAAAAAAAAATGTCGTTGATTACTTATCTGCGCGACGGCGATGACAAGGACGGCGCGGCGACGAGGACGACAGGCATGGTGGTGATGACGTGGCGCGACAGCGGCGATCTGATGATGGCCAGGTGACGATGTCGAAGCCGGGTGGGTCGGGCGGGTTCGAACCGCTCCGATACCAGTGTAACGAGCGTGAGGCTGAGGGTGAGCCAAGGGAGAGGAGAGAGAGGGAGAGAGTGAGGGCACACACACTCACTCACTCACTCGACACAACGGACTCAGACTGAGGGTCGGACGCAGACACAGTGGCAAGGCACAAAGTCGAAGTCTTGGATTCCGAATGCCGAAACAGCAAGTCGCACTGAGTACGAGTACAGCAGCAGAGAACTGGTACGAGACTGGTCCCYGTACCGTACGGGRAGCCGGTATAAGTACCGGTGGCACGTACGGTACCAGGGGCATTTCTGCAAAGGCCCCGAGGGCAGAACTGAAAAATGCAGTATTTGAAAGTGGCGCCTGAATTGCAGCATGGCGCCATTTGTCCAAAATCCTAYGGTACCAAAGGAGSGGTTTGGAAAAAGGGTGYCAGGCCGAAAACGGGATGCAGCTGAAACAGCAAAAAGATAGACCAGGGATCGAGCCCTGGCGGAGTCCGTAACACACAGCCCCGATCACCACATCACCTTCTACGGGCAGGAGCAAGGTGGTTACTTCGACTACGGACCCTGCTTCGCTGCTTATTAAGTGCGCAAAACGAGAATGAATCTTCCCTTAGAACAGGGGAAAAATACATTCATTCTGTACCAGCCGCGCTGTAACCAAATGAGCTACTCAGAGTCTCGTTATTACTAGTAGTTCAGGAGTGAACCTGCCTACTGGGTACAGCCAGGTGCATTCACCCGAAGCATACAGCTACTAGTTTGAGAAAACTAGGATCTCTACAACTACAATTTGCATGAAGAGGGGCACCGTTCTAGTAATGGCACGCACAACTACGGCCACAGTCGTGACCAGCAGTAACACTATAACTACTACAGGCGACAGCGGGGCCACCGCTTAGCGCAAACATTAGCTCGAAATGACGAGCCATCTCTAAAGCTTGACTATGGCAACGAGCGTAACCTGCATCAAACATTAGCTCGAAATGACGAGCCATCTCTAAAGCTTGACTATGGCAATTAGTGTAACCTCCATCAGCATGTAGAAGAGACCCTTGTCGACGATCCTGACGATGTCAACCCGACCCCTGATTCCTGCAGTTTAAATCTACGATGGTGGTCACTTCGATGGACCACCTTCCACTCTCACAAAAAAAAAATGCTCAGATGAGAATGAACCTTCCCCGGGAACGTGGGTAGATGTATCACGTATCAACACAATACCAACCTTGACTCCCGGGCGCAGCTCCCAACCCATATAGTACTGAAACCATAGCCCCAACGCAACATTTGACCCTACCAACGAACTCGCAGTGGCAAAAAACCCTCGATTAGAGCCCTCCCTCGCCCGAATCGATTCAACAACGGGCGAGATACAACTTTTCCTACCCCACCATATCCAACATCCTTTCACCTCCAGGCACGCCTCCTCTCTAATAGTTGGCACTCCATTCTGCTAATGACCATTAAACATCACTCCCCAATTCGTCCCGTTAAGAACTCAGTGATCATCCACTGCCCACGCCCGTTCTGGCTATAGATCGAGCAACTCATGCACTTCAGACTGCGCCTGACCCGTTATCTGTCCTGTTCTTCTCTCGTCGCCCGTACCCGGCGCAGAATCTGTGTCAGGTTCATCCCGTTCCTACCCACCTTTGCGGCTAAGTACTCTTCCTTCTGGCATCACTGCCTTCTTCCTAGTAGTAACACAGCCTCACAGCCGTGCACTTAACCTTCTTGTAGCGCCGCTGACGACGAGTACCTCTTTCTCTCTTCCTCTCTCCCTTTCTCTCTCTCTCTCTCCCTTTCTCTCTCTCTCTCTCTCTCTCTCTCTCTCTCTCTCTCTCTCTCTCTCTCTCTCTCTCTCTTTGGCCACTCTCTGCCCGCTCTCATAGCGTGGTGCCTAGTGGTTTGGTCGAGCAGAAGCGCAACAGTGACAGCCCGCGTATGCCACAACCGAACAAAAAACGTTGGGCTGCTCCCCAACTTTATGCATGTTATCCTTGCGCAGGGGCCATGCTAATCTTCTCTGTATCGTTCCAATTTTAACGGCTGTCCCGAAGGACCGTACCTTGTGCAGGGACCCAGGATCGGCGGGTCCGGATGCCTTGGTAGTTTCGGACAACTCTGAGATTCTTGTCTCTACGAACCGAGCCCCGCAATCGGGTCTGTATCCGCAACAGTTCAGTGGTGTATCCACTGAACTAGGTACTTGAGTCACGGCCGGATATGGTGCCACCGCTGGACCGCGTTCAGAAACAGAACACAAAAGAAAAGAGAAAACCCAAATTAGAAAAAAAGTATAAAATAAAAAACAAAAATAAAATAATAATAAAACTTAGAAAAAAAAACTTTCTTGGAAGCGGAACAGGGGGGGCCATTGGTACCTGGCCCTCGGCCCTGCCTCCCGGCCCGGCTGTTGGAAACCCCCGCAAAAGCCAAGGGGGATAGTCCCGCAGGACCCTCAACCCCTCGGCTCACTCCAATGCACTCCTCCACTGCTCCGTTGCTCCGCTGCTGGCTGCGGGCCTCGATCCCGGGATCCGCCTCAATGACGTAACCTCTAGGGCTAAGCCCAAGCCTGGATACAGCAGGCGCAACCCTCCATATGAATAGTATGGCCAACCAGCCCAGGCCTGCAAACGGTACCGCAGGCCGTTTTTCTAATTTACGGCCTGCGTCCATCGCTCCGTATGGCAGCGGCTATCTTGGGGCAAGGCCCCGCGTGGTCCACCTCGCACGCCTGCTCCGCTACGGTACGGCTGCGGGTCGTGCCGCTCATAGCTGCCACGAACGCCCTTTTATCGCCCCCTTGCTAACCCTGACTTCCGTTCTATCCCGCCATCCTTACTTAGCTCCAGTGGCGGCTCCTATTACCGACGATGCATGGTCCGCCTGGTGCCTGCGAACTCCCCGACGGTGCGACCCTGAAACGTCAGCCTCTGATAGATCAGACAACATCCGCCTCTAGTCACGACCTAGCCTGGTCAACAACTCTACGCTGCCTGGAACTCCGTCCGTGCATACGAGGTCACAATTTCATCAAACTCTTACTTGTGCTACCGGCGTCTCGTAGTCTATATTAGTCAACCATTTGGTCAGGCTACCGCGCGCCCACAAAGTGCCCGCTCACACATTCTCTAATCAACAAAGGTGGGACACGCTCCTATCTATCGTTAAGAGCGTCCTTTTTGTATGCTGCAAAAATGTGCCCAAATACCCTTGTAAGGGTATTCGGGCCGACAGCGCCTCTTCCTGAAGCAGCGCATTTGCCAGCAGATACATCCCACCTATCACTTTTTCGTGCTTGCCTACTTGCAACGCCCCATCCGCAATTGTGAGCGAGTCCTCATGCGGTTGGTACTTGCCTGCTAAAGCCAACTCCATCATCCAATCCACGCTTGGCATTCCCCACGAGTCTTCCTCAATATAGGGCTTGAGAACTAGGTCCGGTCGTCGTACGTGTCCTGGTGGCGCAAGCCACACAGGTCGTCCAGGAGTAACATAGTTACCCACGGCTAGCGACCAGGAGTTGATGTGGAGTCTCACATCTTCCTCACTGTCCAGGAAGCCGTCAACCGGTGGAGCATCCTCGATCACTCCCTGATTGTTCTTGTCCCAGTGGACTCGACTCAGCCCGTCCGGTCTATTCTTGTTCCCGGAAATTCGCTCCAACTCGAAGTCGAACATCCAGATGTACGTTAGCCATCTGGCGATAGTCAATTCCGACGGAGCGAAATTCTTGAGAGAACCAGCTAGAGCAGTTGGATCCACCCTCAATACAAACCTGCTGCCGAAGAGGTAGTTTCTGAAAATCCTTAAACAGTGAAGAACTGTCAAGGTTTCGCGCTTAAACTGAGAGTAGTTCCTCTCAGATGTATTGAGCGTCCAACTCTCAAACCTTAGTGGCCGTTCTTCTCCATTGGGATCTCGTTGAATCAACACACCTCCTAAAGCAGTTGGCCCTGCGTCCGTTTCCACAATGAAAGGCCTGGTCATCACCGCTGCATGATCTGGTACCCCCAGTACTAGACCTCCTACTCTTTCTTCAACCCTTCTATCATCGATTCTTGCCTATCTCCCCACTCCCAATCCTGACCGTGACGCAAAAGCTTTCGCAACTGCTCAGTCTTCGCTGCAAACCCCTTTATGAAGATCCTCCAGAATCCACACGTCCCCAAGAAGCTCCTTACCTCCGTGATAGTCTCGAATGGGGTTGGCCATTCGAGAATCTTGTTGGTCTTCTTAGTATCTGGCCGACGACCCCTCTCGTCGCACACAAATCCTACGATAGTGGCTCCGCTCATGCAGTGCCTTGACTTCGGCCCACTGGCAGTGAGGTTATGCTCCTTTAGTAGATCCAGGACCTTGCACAAGTCTTGCACATGATCCCAGACGAAGAGCCTAATTCCTGGCATCACCTCTTGCTCATCCTTCTCCTTAGGCCCTTTCACGGCCAGGTTATCAATGTAAGGCTATGTGATGTGAGGACTTATGGGCTGCATCGCTCTCACCATATGCCTCTGGACCATGGCGACCGCATTCGTCCATCCTTGCGGTGCGACGTTCATGTGGATTAACCCTCGAGGGGTATGCATAGCCGCCATGGGTCTGTCAGATGGGTACACAGGAAACTGGTCGTAACCAAAATATAAATCTATGAGAGATATTATGGCTCTCCTAGCGCATGCCTCTGAAAGCGCATCAGCGTCGGGGAGACCACCTGCGTCTCTCACTGTTACAGCGTTCAGGCGCTGCAAATCCTGTACCCACCTCAACGTCCCATTGGGTTTGACAAAGCAAAACCAGGGGGATGCATACGGTCCACTCGAGTAGTCTGCCACATGTGTGCGGATCTTCCCATCAAGGTAGTTAACTACCTTCTCTTCATCAGTTGGTTTAGGATACCGCGCGCCCCGCAAGTTCCATGGCTCGTGGGGTACGGTTTGTATCCTAATCATTGGGATTATATCCACGTTCAGTTGTCCCCTCTCATCATCACTGAAGGCATATGCGGCGTGCCTTCCTCTTATGGTTTCTACCACAAGTTTTTCTTCCTGCGTTGTGAGGAAGCCAGGTTCCCCTACGTTCAGCGCCTTCTCTGTCTCTGGATTAATACGGCACGGCCTATTCTCCGCGTTTTCTCGCATCTGCCTTATCAACTCTCGTTCCCGCTCGTACTAAACTTTCTGCTCTTCATCAACGAGTACGGGAACAGGGCAACAGTTCTGATCTACCCTTTTGTACCGCCTTTGTGCCCCCTGCTTGAGCCCACCCCTAAAGAAGGTCGAGTTGCGCTTTGGGGTTGTGCTCCAATTGCTCCACCTGTCTTTCCCGGCGTTCGATATATTAGCTCCATCTCTCTGGCTCCCATCTGTTCCACCACCTTTCTCTCAAGGCCTCCACAGTCTCTGGGTCCGCCATCTCGTAGGTCGACAATATGTCCATAGCATCACCTATATTTGCCAGGCTCAGAGTCAGTGCCTCCGGCTCTCTTACCTCTTCAAACTTACTGCCTTCTATCCTCGACCTTTCTTCTTCTGACTCTTCTATGGTGAAAGAACCAGGGTTGGGCCGGTTCCTGATACTCCTGGGTCCTGTGTTCTTGCATGTTATGACCTCATAGCTCCCACATACCGGATTGCACAGAACGAGGAACATAGTCCCATCATGTTTGTTGAGTATGACGGTTTCTGTTCGACTCAAGAATGACCTTCCCAGTAGGATGGGGTGGTCAAGGTCAGGCATTACGAAGAAGCAACTCCTTACTTTCACTTTCCCGATCTCTAGAACTATTGACGACGCGGTCCCTATGAACACCGATCGACTGTTCGCTCCCATCAACACCCCATTGTCCGAGCGATCTATCTCCATTCCTAAACGCACATTATGTTCCTCCTTTATGAGGTTCATTTCTGCGCCACTATCCACCATCGCTGTGCACGTCTTTCCCTTCACCACTACATCTAGGCACCCACATGCCACAGACTTCCAGTCCATCTTCGTACCTGTGTCAGCCCATTCTGCCTGTTTAGGGATTATGGTCCCTAATCGCACACTGGCCACCATCTTTCTAGACAATCGTGCCTTCAGCTCATCCGTGAGCCTTGGCGCCGAGGCCAGGACGTCCTTCAGGTTCATAAGGTGGTTATGACCTTCAAGAATCCTGTCCATGATCTCCTCTACGTCGAACCCTTCCTCTACTCGGACAACATACTTTTTCTTCTTCACCTCCTGAGCTTTGTCCGTATCAGGCTTGGCGCCCCTCTTTTTGGCCCTTTGCTCGGCCTTCTCGTCCTCTTCTTTTCTCAACCTGTCATCTTCATCATCCTCCCCCTCTGGAACATCCACCACCTCTTTCTCTCCGCTGGGCTCAGGAACATCCTTTACCGGTTCCTCGGGGCTCACCGACCCTTCGGCTCTTGTCCTGACAGCCTGCGGTGCTCTTCCCTATCTCGAGGGTGGTCTATAGGTCATTCTGGACCTTGGCGTTGGCCCTGATGTCGTGATGCCTGGTAAGTTTCCAGCCCCGCCTTGCGACCTTGGACCCAATTCGTAGAGGTATACCGGTGGCTCCTTTCCCTGCCACTCCTTGACCTCTTCACACATATCGGACAACTTTTGCTGGTACCTCCCGACTTTAGCTACTAAGTCTTCCATCCTTTCCATTGTTTGTCGGGCCTCTCTCCAGCAATTCTCTCCTATCGTAGCATGTCGTGGCCTGTTCCAGCAGTCCTCTATCTCATCATCGGATTCTACTATGATTGGTTCTTCCTTGATGGTGCCAGCTTTCCTTTCTTGCTCTACCTCTTCGTTCTCTCCTCTTCCACCCTAATGTCACTGTGGACCTCTTTCTCCTGCCACATCTGAAACATGACTGGAGGCGCGGGTGGTGCACCGGCCTCGGCTCTTCGTAGGGCCTCTTTCCTCGTACCGCCAGGGATCTTCGGGTCAAGATAGTACCCAAACTTGTCATACATATCCCCGTCGTAGTTAGTACTGATTAGACCTTCATCCTCATCGTTTCTCCGGACGTGGCAGAATTTGATGGTGTGACCCTTCTGTCCACAATGCCAGCAAATGGCATTCCTCCAATCTATCCTTCCTCTGTCGGAACCTCTTCCACCTTCTTGACCGCCCTGACTCCCTGACGGAGTCCAGTCCCCATTTCCTTCGCCTGTAGAGTTTCCACCACCGTTTCCTCTGCCATTTCCTCCTCGGCCACCATTTCCTCGCCCTCGGCCCCATCCTTGGCTCTATCCGCGTCCACCACCTTGACTGCCTTGTGATCCTTGTGGGGCTGACTGTTGAGGTTGGTTCGGTGGTGGGTTCGGGTGGCTCACTTGCTGGGCTTGGGGTCCCGGACAGCCGCAGGAAGCCGTACTCATTGGCGCTCCGGCACATGATCCATCCGGCCCACTTACCGGCCATGGTGCGTATGGACTGCCCATGCCAAGAACTTGGGGGTCCGTAACCTGGCCGCGGCCCATAGGGTGCTGGTGCGTCCTGACTGGGTGACTCAGGTGGTGGCATCGCCGCTACCTGCGGGGCTTGCCCCCTTCCTGAGCCTTGTCTGCCTTGAGCTAAATTCTTCGCCTTTCTCTGAGCCTTTGTTAGCTTCAAAGGCTTAGGCTCCTCTTCTTCCTCTTCTTCCTCTTCTTGCACCACTGCCTTTTTCGCTTTTCCTACAGTTTGTGGTGCTGCCATAGTCTTTCTTGTTGCCTTTGCCTCCTTCTCCGCATCAAGGTGGGCCACTGCATCCTCTACCAGTTTCTTAAAGTCGTGCTCGTCGCTCGTCGTGGCATCCAAGGCCTTCCTTTTCTTCCTAGCCTGTCGCATCTGGAAGATGTCTACTTCGTCCAACTCTCCCTCTAACACGCCCTCCTTTATGGCAGCCCAAGTCAGCTTCTTCCCTGGCGCAACCTTCTTGGTCAGCGCGGAGGCCTCCCAATTCTTGAAGTGTCCTAGGAAGGTTGCACACTGTTCCTCTTCAGCCAACCCTGGGACCTTCCTTGCCATCTTTTCGAAAGCCGTCGTGAAAGCCCCCACTGTGGAGAACTCCTCTCTCTGCAACATTTCTAAGTCCGTTTTGGTTAACAGGCCGTCCCCTAGCTTGAACCGCCTTTGCATCTCTGCTTTGAATTTGGCCCAATCTCCTCCAGCTCCAGAGCTACTTTCATTATCTCGGGCCAGATTTCCCACCAGATGTATCTAGGTAAGAACTTGAACTTATCTGCCTCTGGTACCTCGGTCGTGACTTGTTCCAACAGTTCCAACCACTTGGACACCCTTTCCCCTTCAAACAGGAAGATGTCAACTTTTGGCTCTTGTAGCCGTGCCAACTCCCTTTTCTCGAGAGCCTCGACAATGTCTTCCGGCGTAGCGGCCGGGCCCCGCTCAATTCCATCGGCGTCCGGCATCTTTACCTCCTTTCGCTAACCAACCTGTTAGGAGCAAAGATAGCCCATCAGACAGTTTGTCAGTTCCAGAGGACTAGTCCTAAGTCCTAACTAATCGTTCCACCTCTAGGTTCAACCAACCACTCTACTATTAGTTATTCGAATGCTCAGACACAATCCTTACGTCGCATTCTTAATCACATGGTATTACTGTTACCTCATACACAATCCTCTTATATGAGACTATCCAAAACATAGGGTTTTGTCGTTTTGCCTAGGTCATCAGCTTGCATTTAACCTGGGTTCGTTCTCTTAAGGACCCCGGTAGGCAGCCGAGATCCCCGACAACGGCGCCACCCGTCGAGCGCATCGGTCCCACACGGGGACCCTCCCGGCAGCGTCACGCAGGATTTGGCAGGACATGTAGCGGAGAGCGTTTGCCGCTCCGGCCGAGTGCGCCAGCCGTACCTCTCGCGAGCCCCTACGACAGGACAGGGTCATGCGAGGCACCGCTTACCTCCACCTGCGGGAGCTGTCACCATCCCTTAGGTGGGCGTATCCCCGCCGAGCTACTGAACCACATGCGAAGGCTTTTCGTATGCAATTGCAGAGGTGGCCCAGCCGAGGGTGTTTCTCGCTCGCTGTAGCATAGGGGGTACGCGCGGTCGAACGCCCAAAATCGGACCCGCATGCGAATCGCCGCACTGGGGGGCTGAAGTCCCAAACGCGACTCGGCGTTGGTCGACTAGGACGCACCACACACACCACACGCTGCACCACAACACTCACACTTACCCACGCATAACACATGGAACCACACTCAACAACTCCACAAACAACACCACGACACAACAACACTCCTAGTCCCTTCAGTATCTGACCCATAATGTTATGCAGCAAGAATCAGATAGGTATCGTGCGCCGAACTTCCGTATAAGAGTCGTCCGAGCGCATGGCCTCGTCATACCAACCAACCATGCGGGCATACGCAAGCACTCGCGCTGATGGGGTACTACGGGGCACTCGTAGCCTCGCGGCCCTTGATAATCTCGAGGGTCGCGTTCGACACTCAAGTGTCGGCTGACAGGCGCTTTGAGGGGTAATCTCTCAACGCCAGACAACCTCTATGTGCGGTTGAAGACCACACCCTCATCTGCACCCCGTGCAGAGGGGTTGAGTAGACAACTTTAGGGCTGTCGTGGTAACCAAAATCAAGGGGTTTGACTTTGACGGCTGCCACAGACTACAACGTCCAACCAAAAACTCAAAAAGAAATACAACCGCCGATAGAGAAGGACTCCACGTGACCCATAACTTTTTGCAGCGGAAGTCGGTAACTGCCGTGCGCGAGGTTTAATATAAGATTGCGCGGTCGCAAGACCTACACATACCGATTGGCAGTGCAGTCCTACCTAGGTATTCGTGATGACGGCGCATTATGGCCTCTTCTGAGCCATGGGGTTGTTTCCGACGCTCAGGCGTCGGTTGAAGTACGTGCTAAGGGAATAACCCTTTAGCGAGCACAAAACCGGCTTGAGGGCCTTTCCGTCCTCTGCACCCTGAGGTGTCCCAAGGGGTGCGGGGTAAGACGGCCCCTAGGGCAGGAAGGAATTTGGAGTGGTGGTGAGTTGTTTGGCGCATCACCAGCGACACGCTAACCCTTCCGCCCGGATCTTTATCGTTCCACCAAAATAAATTTCAACAAGGAAAGGAAACAAATACTCTTAACATTATCAGAAGAAAACGGCTTCAGGGCTAAGCCTGGTTTATCTTGGACAAGGTTCTTGAATTCCAGGCTTGGACCTAACGTCCTACCATCTGACCAATATACACACACAAAAAAAATGTGGGCGTGCGGTCGCATAGTCCTGTGAGGGTTACCCGAGCGTGCGCCTACTTAGATCATCATATTACCAGGATAGGAAAAGAACAATCTCACTCAACAACAAGGTTGTGGGGTAGTTCACTCTCACGACAGTTATGTGGTTTGCCCATCAGAATCCAAAGCAATATCACTCAACATGAATCAATCGAGCTTCCAAACATACCCGTAATCACATCAAAGAGTCAAGCAACGGTCCACGCACTACACGGAGTCAACTCCAACCAACCTCTATACTCATACCCCTTGCTTTAGCCATGCAAACCCCAACCTCCGGCCAACCAACCATAATTAAATACTCAGTATCTTTGTTAGATGACCATTCAATAAAAGTCTGGGTGAAACCTTAACAAAACAATAAAATCACCAGGGCTAAAGCCTTTTTAGGTTGAGTATTGAGAGTGAATTGGGGTTGAGTCGTAAACCGATGAATCGGCAACCGACCTGTTATCAGTGATAACACAAGAGTAATCCTTTTGTAGGAATAACCTGATCAGATCAAGCCTTCAAGCGAAACACGAAAACCTGCATCACAGTACAGGCCAAAGGAGAGTACTACTTATGTTTCTGCCAGAGGAGAATACTCCCCAAGTCATGACCTAACTCCTCTACTAACCTTAGGGCCAACTCTCCTTGCTAGTACTAGGTCACTGAGTATCTCCTCTAATCAGGATAGGTCTGCCAAGTAGTCCTTAACTGAAAAATATTCTAACTCCCAAAATTCTACGAAATTTCGGCAGCGCTTCCCGTAGGAAAAGTGCCTTCTCAAAATTTTTATAAGCTCAAAATTACTAACTCTTTTCAGATTTGTAGAAATTCCGACAGCGCTTCCCGTAGGAACAGGAGGCTGTCAAGATTTAGACAGAGTATACTTGGGACTAACTTCTGACACCTGCTCGACGATTCAGGATCAATGACAGTCCACACAACCTCTAGATGAGATTGTGAGCTAGCCCTGATCGTAACTCCTAGCAGGGTCAGTCCTATCTTCATCCCAAGTTCTCCCCCCCATCATCCATCTGATCTACCTATGGCTCCAACACTTGGCGAGCGTCTAGGCAAATAACCTATCGAAAAGACGCCCCAAAGTGAGAGCCCACAGACATACATAAACATGCATCGCTCACAATCCCACATCAATTTGCCCAAGTCGTTCGCTAGATCATTCAGTTCTTCCCTCAGTAACCCCCTTGCCTATGGCATAGGATCAGACAACGCCCTAACTTAAGGGTATGTCCAACCTGCCTAAGTAAACAAGTAAAGTACGCACAACTGGGCTGCCCTATCTTAAGGGTATACCCAACACGAGATAAACTCTAGTCATAAAACATATGACTAGGCCGCCCTAACTTAAGTGTACGCCTGGCTTCTGTTTAAACTGACGACATGAAGCATAGAACTAGACTGCCCTAACTTAAGGGTATGTCTAGTCAGCCTTAAACGAAGTTTACATAGGGCATAGGATTAGGCTGCCACAACTTAGGGGTGTGCCTAACCTGCCTAAAACAACCACGAACAAGGAATGGTCAGACTGCCCTAACTTAAGGGTACGTCCAACCTACATAACGTCAACGACAAGAGCATATCACTAGGCCGCCCTAACTTAAGGGTACGACTAGCTAGCTTAAACATTTTTAGGTACATAAGACAGTGTGACCAGGCCGCCCTACGCTCAGCCTGCCCGAGTTACCTCCATTATATTCTTCATTCATCTCTCTTCCCTTCTTGTTCTACCTGACTTACTGACTGGCTTTCCCAACTTAGGGTGCCTGGCCTGTCAGAATATAAGTTCATATAATATGTATCAACATTCTATACTTAAGTTGACTTTTTTGTTCATGGCTTATGACTGAGCCTCCCTAACTTAAGGGTACGCTCAGCCCCATACCTGTGTCCCCCTCAGAAAAAACACACACAGAACTAGGTCTACGCAACTTAGAATATTCCTAGTCCTGTCTTTCAGCAACCCAAAAGAAACATCAGGATTTTGAGTCCTCCCAACTTAGGGTGCCCATCCTCCTGTTCAGAAACCCCAGAGAAAACAGCGATTGGTCCGTCCAACTTAGGATAGGCCGAGCCCACATCAACTTAGAGGAGCTCAGCCCAGTAACATAAATAAAACATAGCACTGAGCCCACATCAACTTAGAGGAGCTCAGCCTTGGGTTGACCCGGTCAAACGCATGCAAACGCCTTTCTCCCACCTTCCCCCCATTCATTTTGCCTGAATTCGCTCGCAGTTTATCTGGACTCTCATATATATGTGTTCATTTAACCTTTCATAAGACATGTCCTGACATACATAACAAAACAAAAAGTAGTATCCTGTCATAGTATTATTCAGATAACCCAAGGATAATAGTTAGGGGAAGGGATCACACGCGTCAAACGAGATTATAGCTGAAGTTCCCTGCCTACAGAACCCCGCCTGGGCTCCGGCAGAGCTCCCGCAATCGGTGGGTAGACCTCCCACAAGGTCTTGATGAGGACCTACGGGTTGCAATCCCGCCTGCCGCCTTCCTCTCGTAACCAAGAGACTAGACTTAGAATAAGCAGGGCAGAAGTAGGTAGGTTCAGACTCTCGAGATCCAAGGGTGGTTCAACTCAACTCACAATGAGAGGGCCTTGGAGTCTGGATACGCCCGAGGGTCCCGCAGTGGTGGCCAATAATGCAGCAGAAGCAACCAAGTCTCGGCCAGAACGCAGAATGTCAGCCCCCTGACTACCCCTCCAAATCACAGCAATAGCCCCCTACAGGGCCTGCCCACTCCTCCGACTCCCCAACCG